CCTTTAAACAGCTTTCCACCTAGCCTCTCCCAAGTATGTAAATTAGGCAATTTTTCCTTGGAAAAACGATGAACAGACATCATTGACTATTTGTAGGAATTTAGTGAGCTGGGCTCTCTTGATCTGTTTTCCCCTACGATTAATTAACGTCTCTAGGATCATGAAGTAGATTTTTCTCTCTGAAGACTTTGAATTCCCCATGTTACGATTAGTGTCCCCTGTCAAGATTAGCATTCTTTACTCTTCGTCTGCAATATGTTTTCTATTTTCTAAATGTGCTTAACCAAAGTCAACCTGCCAAATTCACAATGAGTGCCTCTCGTTTGGTGCCAATCTGCTGCCCCCGTTCAGCGTAGGCAACTGAACCAAAGTCACTCATGTGAATTTTGGGGTAACACAAAATATCATACAGACATGGAATACCTTTTTGTAAGCTTCAGGATAGCTTCCCTGGCTCCCGGCCTCAGGCTCCCACAAGGAGAACAAGAGGCTGGCACGAGATGCTGACAAGAGAGAGGGAGTGCATGTTCTTGAGTTGACTTTTATTGAGGGCAAGGGGCAGGATTACAAAGGAACAGGTGAGTGTAACTCAGCCCCACCAGAAATGCCTGCTCCTGGAGCCATGCCTGAGCAGAGGTAAAGCCTACGTTATTGTGGGGTGTAATAATTGTTCAGTATCTCTTGCTCAGGACTTAAGCACGTGTATTCCCAGAGTGGCTCCCGACAATTTCATATGAATGGAACCATGCAAAATGTGGCCTTTTGCATCTGGCTTCTTTTACTTCCTGTTTACTTTCCACCTACATTTGGCAGGGGTGAGGGGGGATAGTACTAGGGATTGAACCCAGGGGTGTTTAACCACTAAGCCACATCCCCAGCCCTTTTTGGTATTTTTAATTTAGAGACAGGGTCTCTCTAAGTTGCTGAGAGCCTCCCTAAGTTATTGAGGCTGGCTTTGAACTCATGATTCTCCTGCCTCAGCCTCTCAAGCCGCTGGGATTACAGGTATATGCCACTGTGCCTGACTCCCCACATTTTTTTTATTGGTGCATTATAGTTGTACATGATGATGAGATTTGTTGTTTCATTTGTACATGCACACAATATAATGATAAAGTTTGTTGACTATCACTCCCCAGCACTCACTCTTTCTTCTCTACCTACCATCTCTTGTTCCTTTCCCTCTATTGGTTTCCCTTTGATTTTTAGGAAATCCACTCCCACCTTTCCTTTCCTTTTTTCCTCTCTAGGTTCCACATAGGAGAGAAAATATACTACCTTGACCTTCTGAGTTTGACATATTTCACTTAACATGATGGTCTTTAGTTCCATCCATTTCCCCACAAATGACATAATTTCATGTCTCTTTATGGGTGAATAAAATTCCATTGTGTATATATACCACATTTTCTTTATCCATTCAGCCATTGATAGACACCTAGGCTGGTTCACTAATTTGGTTGTTGTGAATTGTGCTGCTCTAAACATGGGTATGCATGTATCACTGTAGTATGATGACTCAGGATAAATACTGAGGAGTGGTATACGTTGATTATATGGTAATTCCATGCCTAGTCTTTTGAGGAACCTTCATACTGATTCCCATAGTGCTCATACTAATTTAGAATCCCACCAACAATGTAAAAGTGTTCCTTTTTATTATTTTGTCAAAATAGATTATACTAGCATGTATGACTATGAAGTGTTCTTTTTTCTCCACATCCTCCCTTTTACTTTTAAAGTAAAACTCAGATACCATCTCAACTGTAGAATAATGGTACCATTATGATATCTAAAAAAAATAATAGTTCTTAATATTTTGGGGTGTACCAGGGGTTGAACCCAGGTGTGCTTAACCACATCCCCAGCCCTGTTTTTTTCTTTTTTTGGAGACAGGGTCTTGCTAAGTTGCTTAAGGCCTCACTAAGTTACTGAGGCAGACTTCGAATTTGTGATCCCCCTGCCTCATACTCCCGAGTTGCCGGGATTACAAGTGTGCCCCACTTTGCCTGGCTAATAGTTCTTAATATGTTCAAATATGTAACTGGTGTTCAAATTCCCCTTTGATTCAGTTGCATATAACTGATTAAAATATAAGCTCAGGCCCATTTTCCTTATATCCTTATCCCTATAGTGTTCTCATTTGTTTTAGAGGAATAGAGGATAGAACCTTCTTGAGGGTAGCATGAAAATTTGTTTTAAATTAATCATATCCATTATTGTAATGTTTACATATATACCTGATTGTTTTTAGATTAAAATGGATTGTTAGTGGATAGTGAAAATGTTTTGTAATGCTGTGTTTCTCAATATGTGGTCTCTGGAACAGTAGTGTAAGCATCATCTGGAAACTTGTTAGAGATTAAAATTTTCAGTCTCTGCCCTAGATATACTGGGTAAAACTCTGGAGATGTCCCAGTAATCTTTTTTTTTTTTTAATACTTACATAATTATTGTGTAAACTAAGGTTTGAGAGTCACTATTATGAAGAAATTCTATTAAGAGTAGTTTGTGTCTATAACCTTTGGCCAACTTGCAATGTAAGTCTAAGACACCCCTGAGACACCCCTGAAATAGGTACCTTACAATTTCTATATTTTCTTTTCAAGAATCCTAGAATCTTTCTTTATTAGTGTTATAAATTCAGGGAGAACATCTACAAAGGAGGAGTGCTTTCTAAAATTTGTCAAACAAATAAATTAATATATATGTGTGTGTGTGTGTATATATAACTTTTCTCATTATAATATTTGGTATTGTATGGTTTAGCTCTTTAGTTCTCAATAATTCCTTTTAGAGATATGAATGCAATGCTATAGTTCTATCATATTATCATATGTCATATAACTGTCAAAAAGGAAGTAAATTGTAGTTCTAGACCACAACTAGAGAATGATAGGAAACATTTTTCAGTAGTGGTTCTCCAAGGACATTTCTAATTGTCATAGTGACTGGGAAGAGGGTGCTGTTGTCTTTTAGCAGGCAGCAGCTAGGGATGCTAAATATGCTGAAAATGCTGGGCTGGGGTTGTGGCTCAGTGGTAGAGCACTTACCTAGCAAATGTGAGGCTCTGGGTTTGATTCTCAGCACCACATAAAAATAAAGGTATTGTTATTGTGCCCAACTACAACTAAAAATTAAATATTAAAAAAGTGCTGAAATTGTGAGGGAGTAGGAGGAAGTCCTGAATAGTGAATTGTTTCATCCAAAATGCCAATAGTGCCCTGTGGTAAGACATTTCAGAAGAGGCTGTTCAGTGGTAGAGTACTGGCCCAGCTTGCGTGAAGACCTGGGTTCAATCCCCAGAACTGCTAAAAAAAATTTTTAAAGGGACTGGGGTTTGGCTCAAGCAGTAGCGCGCTTGCCTGGCATGCATGCGGCCCGGGTTCGATCCTCAGCACCACATACAAACAAAGATGTTGTGTCCGCCGAAAGAAAACTAAAAAATAAATATTAAAAAAAATTCTCTCTCTCTCTCTCTCTCCCTCTCCCTCTCCCTCTCCCTCTCCCTTTAAAAAAAGTTTTTTTAAAGGTATTCTGAGCAATCATCATCATTTCAAATTATTTCAGACACACTTGCCAAGTGCTTTCAAAAACCATAGTTAAACTCAGCTTTGCAGGTAGCCCGCTGATAGTATGGATGCCAACTATTTGAATAGTCTCCTAATCCTTCCTTCCTTGTTCTGACACTGAACCATCACAGTGGAAGTGGTAGAATCATCATCTCTCAAGCTTGAGACTATATATATGTACGTATGTATATACACATACACACACACACTATGTTATTATTTTTTTTTCTGTTCTTAAACATTGTTGACTACATGGATAGGAGGGTAAAGCTATGAATTCACATTGCAGGTCTTTTCCTAATCTACTTAATAGCAGATTGAAACAAAGTCTGAGAAATGGATAGGTTGAACTAATTATGCCCAGTGTGATTTAAAGAGATTGATTTGGGAAGAATATAAACTACCCAGATCTGCTTTTTACTAAAAGAATGAAAGATGCCAAAAATTTTGTTATTTTAATATTAGGATTAGATTGAATTTCAGTGGTAAATATATATACATATAGGTACTGGGGGTAAAACCCAGGGTGCTTAACCATTGAATCACATTTCCAGTTTTGTTTTGTTTGTTTTTTTATTTTAAGAGAGAGTCTAGCTAAGTAGCTTAGAGCCTTGCTAATTTGCTGAGATTGGCTTTGAACTGCTGATCTTCCTGCCTCAGCCTTCTGAGTCTCTGGGATTATAAGTGTATGCTACCATGCCTGGGTCAAGTGAAAATATTTTAACAGAATCTTCAGCTGAAGAATTCAAGCAAAACTGGGTTTTGATTTATGTATTAAGTTTTACTCATTGTTTTGCAATGGTTCTGGCATAAGAAATGATTCCCAAAGTCATTTTAGTGTTTATCCTTTTAAACCACTTATGATTTGGTTGAGATTAATTAGTCCTCATTATTTTTTTTCCTGGCTTGCTTTATCATTTTGTTAATTTTCTGATTTTATCCTGAATTTTTCATGTTGCTTTGTCATGAACTCATTCCCCCAATTTCTAGAAATATCCTATTAGGATCCCTACACATTGGTAATATTATTTAAAATATCTAGAACTTAATCCTCCCCCCCTCTCATAATTACTAGTAGAGTCTGGTTATTGAGGATGTTCTATGAATTGATCTTAATGGTTCCTTAGAGGGCTAAGTGTAGTTTTATGATTCATCTCTGTGATTTTTAAAAAAAATATTTATTTTTCAGTTTGACACAATACCTTTATTTACTTATTTTTATGTGGTGCTGAGGAACTATCCCAGGGCCTGAGCAAGAACCCCAGCTCTCATCAGTGTGATTTTCTAAAGGGAATTATACATTGGAGTACTGATAGTCCTCATTTTGTATCCTATCAGCTTCTTGCTATATGTTATCTTCTTTTAGCTTGGAAATTGTGAACACTTTCTCTGTTCTGTATCTGAATGTTATGCATTTCTTTATTGCAGAGAGACAACTTTGGGTGGATCCATGGACTCTGTGTCTAAACTGATTGACTATGTAGGATGGCTGTCCACTACTGCAATGCGATTGGAGAGTAACAGTACTTTCTTGTTGCACTTCATTTTGGATTTCTATGAGAAGGTAGCATGCATTCCATTTTTCCAGTTTAGATTTTGTGATAGCTGTTAAGTGTTCTAGCCCATTATTTAAATTTCATGGACAACCATCAAGGTGTGCTATGAACTTATTAGCATGGTTAAGATAACCGCACATCTTAAAGTTGATTATTGTATTTTCATCTGAGTAAATGACTTTCATAAAATAAAGTATAAAAACAAATGTGTTTTATTTTTGATCCAGTTACCTACCACTTTAATATACATTGACCTATAGTAATACTGGCCCTAGACAGAAGTCTGTTTCTAGCATCACTTTTTTGTTTATCCACTGTATATCACCAACCTCTTGCAAAAACCAAGATATCATTTTGTTTTTTCAGATCTCCTACCTTTCAACCACCTATATTATTCTGGTACTTAGTGCCTTTATGATACTAGTACTCTTAATTGTTTTATAGTATTTAGATAGAACTAAATACTATAGAACTATTACCATGAAGCACCCATTATAATCTCACGTTTCTGGCTTTCTTCCTTCATTAATACCTCATTGTCTTGTGTTATGTGTTTGCTTAGAAGCATGCTTTCCTTCATTTTCCAGGTCAACTGCTGACTAATATGATAAATAAGTATTCATGGGACTTAAGGAGAAAGAAATGCTCCTTTGTCTACCCTGTTCCCAGACTCAAAGACATCCCCCCAGAAAAAAATTAAATCCTTTAATAATGATCTAGAAATAATTTTCCATTGCAAGGTTGATATTTGATGAAGTTTATTTTCAGCATACTTATGGCTACCTATTCTATTTAGGAATCAGGCATATCTAAACCTGATGTTTTTATTATTTATTTTGATAATTCTTTGGAACAACTTGGCTGATTTCTGGCAAATAATCTATGTGCTGATGTTATCATTTTCCCCAAAAGGTATGTGACATATATGTAAATTATAACCTTCCATTAGTGGTATTATTTCCTCCTGGGATCTTCCACTCTGCACTCCTCAGCCTGGATACCAGTATATTGAACCAGCTCTGTTATATTATGCACAGGTACAAGCCTTTTTACCATTTATTGCTTACTACATCATAATTTTGTCTTATCTTTCAAGTGTATCGCAACATGTATTCCTATTCATTTTCTGCCAAGGCGTGCGAAATAGGAAACATGACTTTCTTTTGGATACAAAATTCCAATATGGGGATAAGATAGCTGTGTTATCTGTAAGTCCCCCATTACATGGGATATGGATTTTTTTTTTAAAAAATCATAGTTAAGGATCTGTTGTACAAGGTATAGTTGCACTCAGCTTTGTTAATTCCAATTTTTGTGTTGGTAACTGGTTTAAGTATATGTAGATTTTCTGGGAGACGAGGAGCTATTGCTATTATGTGAAACTCTAAGTATTATTTCTTTTCTGTGGGGGTTACCAGGGATTGAACTCAGAGGCATTCAACCACTGAGCCACATTCCTAGCCCTGTTTTGTATTTTATTTAGAGACAGGGTCTCACTGAGTTGCTTAGCACCTTGATGTTGCTGAGGGTGGATTTGAACTTGCAATCCTCCTGTCTCAGCCTCCCAACCAGCTGGGATTGCAGGTGTGTGCCACCGCTCCTGGCTTCTAATTATAATTTTTGATCTCCTCTTTTCTTTCACTTGGACCAAAGTTACTCTTTTCAATCATAAGTGTAGACCCTTTTTGGCTTAAATTGTAGAACTGTGTCAAGGTTAAAATATTTTAAAACTAATTAGATCATTGTTCTCAGGCAAAAAAATATTTCTCAATTTCCTCTTTTCTGTTGTGACTTTTTTATATGATGAAAATACATTTTGTATCAGTGGCTCAGTGCTTTTGAGCCTTTATTAACTTTAAAAAAAATTTTTTTTTGTTGTGGATGGACACACAATATCTTTATTTTTATGTGGTGCTGAGAATTGAACCCAGTGCCTCACACATGCCTCACACAAGTGCTTTACCACTGAGCTATAGCACCGAGCCTTTATTAAATTTTTCTTTTTAAAAAAACATTTTTTAGGTATAGGTGGATACAATATTTTATATTTTATATTTATGTGGTGCTGAGAATTGAACCCAGTGCCTCATGCATGCCAGGAGAGTGCCCCACCTCTGAGCCACAACCCCAGCCCACCTTTATTAATTTTTAATAGTGAAACATTAAAATCATGTCTGTTGGGCTGGGGTTGTGGCTCAGTGGTAAAGCACTATGTCTAGCATGTGTGAGACACTGGGTTCAATTTTCAGCACCATATAAAAATAAATAAGTAAATAAAATAATGTAAAGGTATTGTGTCCACCTAAAACTAAAAAATATATATTTTTTAAAAAGCATGTCTGTCGGGCTGGGGATGTGGCTCAAGCGGTAGCGCGCTCGCCTGGCATGCGTGCGGCCCGGGTTCGATCCTCAGCACCACATACAAACAAAGATGTTGTGTCCGCCGAAAACTAAAAAATAAATATTAAAATTCTCTCTCTCTCTCTCTCTCAAAAAAAAGCATGTCTGTCATTGTTTTGTCTTTTTTTTAAATAAGGTACATGTTACATATAGTCAAGTGTACATCTTAAATGTACAACTCAGTTTTGAATCTATTTTTAAAATTCTTTGAGTAGAATGTGTCATAAAATGATAAAATCATCAACCAGACAACTGAATATTTGTATACACTTACATACATTTGCATTTAAAATGTAAGGTTTTATTTATTTGTATTTCAAAAGCATTGTATAGGCATGTTAAACATTTCATTCTATTTGTTTTTACCATTAGGTATCATAAAAATTTGAGTGCAGCAAAGAAAAATGAGTTGGTACAAAAGGTATGAGGGATAAATCTCTGTGTTAAATCACTATTGTTTAAAAACTGACCTGTTCAGAATAAGACGGAAAGGAAGAATAGATAATAATGACAATTTTATTTCTTTCTTTGACTCTTTAGGCAAAATCAGAGTTCAATTTCAGCAGCAAGACCTATCAACAATTTAATCAGTATTTGACAACCATGGTTGGTTGTCTGTGGACATCCAAACCCTTCGAGAAAGGAACACATATTGACCTCCAAATCCTAGAAAGTGCTGGAATAATGGAATATAAAAACAGTTTAAATTTAGTCTGTCACCCTTCTCTATTAAGCTATGCTGCCTCCTTTTTGCTGCAGGTAAGGGCGTTTAAAAGACTTAGATTTTACATAGTGATACTATAATGTCAAAAATAGGAAATGCCACAAATTTAGTGTGTCTGAATTGTAATACATGTTCAGTATTTTTTCTAGTATCAATTAAATTTTGGGCATTGTGGTAGGCTTTATGGATTCATTTAACTTAAATTAGTCTCTGTCTTGCAAGAGAGCTTGGGCTTCTAGTGAAGACAGACTAGTAAACAAATTAATATAGCACAGTGAGGTGAAGTGAGAAAAGGTAGTTGTGAGAAAGATAAGGAAAAGATTAGTTCTCCTTGGGTAAAGGTGGTGCTAAGTAAGAGGTTTCATAGAAGTGAAAGTTCTCATATAATCCTATGGAAAATGTAGGCCAGATAATATTATAATTAGAGTCTTTGCAGAAACATGCTGATTTATTGGATTGATAATAATGTGGGCAGAGGGAAGGGTGCCTTCTCATTACTTTATACTCAGCTTTGTCATTTTCAACATTATCAGTGACTTGAAGAGGATTCATATAGTGTGCATTTCAAATTCATGGATGACACAACAGGGTGGGATTGCAAATACTCTGAAAGAATCTAGTTTCCAAATTTCCTCAACAGGCTGGAACATGAAGAAATCTAACAAAATGAGAAAAAAAAATGTACTGAGTGGGGAAGATAATTCATTGAACAAATGTTTAATATATGCATATAATAAACCAGGCACATCTTAGTGTAAACAGTAATGAGCAATGTGTGAAGTTTCCATTTTTCTTCATCTTTCCCAACACTTGTTATCTGTATTTTTTATTAGGTATCTTAAAGGATGTGAAGTAATATGCATTATGGTATCGATTTGCATTACTATGATATCTGTTGATATTCAGCATCTTTTCTTGTGCTTATTCACCATTTGTTTATTTTCTTTGGATGAATATTCAGACTCTTTGCTCATTTTAAATTGGGTTATTTGTATTTTGTTATTGGTTTGTGAGAGTTCTTTCTATATTCTAGAAGTAAATCCCTATCTAAATATACACTGGCAAAAGTTTTCATCTATTCTGTGAATTATCTTTTCACTTTTTTGTTTGTGTTTTTTGAACACCAAAGTTTTTCATTTTGAAGTCTGGTTTTTAATTTTTTTTTTAACTTTTATTGCTTGTGTTTTTGTTTCAAAGTTAAGAAATAACTGCCTAACTTAAGGTCATGAAATTCCATTTCAATTTTATTATCAGTTTGCCATTTTCTACAAAGAATCCAAGTATTATTCTAATAGGTAATGCTTCAGATCTGTAGATAATTTATGTAGTACTGCCATCTTAACAATATTAAGCCGTCTAACACAGGAACACCAGATATCTTTCTATTTAATAAAAATTAAATAGCTCCTCTTTAATTTTTTCAACAATGTTTTATGCAATGAGTGTAGGTTTTGTACTTTTGTTAAATTTATTTCTAAGTATTTTCTGATGTTATTACAAATGGAATTGTTTTTTAATTTCATTTTGATTACTCATTGTATTATAAAAATGTGATTTAAGGGGGCTGGGGATATAGCTCAGTTGGTAGAGTGCTTGCCTCGCATACACTGGGCCCTGGCTTCAATCCCCAGCACCACAAAAAAGAAAAAAAAAAGATAAAGAAGTGCAATTTAATTTTGTATATTGACTGTATATACTGCAACTTTATTGAACTTCTTTATTAGCTATATTTTTTCAGGTGATTCCCTAGAATTTTCTGTATCTAGAATTATGTCATCTGCAAACAGGGATAGTTTTATTTCTTCCTTTCAAATCTCAGTGCTTCTTCTTTGTCTTGCCTAATTGTCAAGCCTAGAACTTTAGGTATATTGTTGAAGAAAAGTGGCAAAAATGGCTACTTGATCATGGGGATAACGTTTCACTTTGTTACAGTATGGTAAAGCTTTCTCTGGATTATGAGGTTGAGGATTTCCCTCCTACTAGTAGTTTGCTGAATGTTTTTATCATGCATGAGTGTTGGATTTTTTAAAAAAAAAATTTTGTAGTTATAAATGTACGGAATGCCTTTATTTTTTTATTTGTTTATTTTTATGTGGTGCTAAGGATCGAACCCAGTGCCTCATGCATGCTAGGCAAGCACTCTGCCACTGAACTACAGCCCCAGCCCGAATGTTGGATTTTGTGTAATGCTACAAACTTGATCCTATGGTTTTGTCCTTTATTTTTTGAAATAGTATATTACATTAATTGATGTTCAGATATTTAACCCTGCACTCCTGGAATAAATTCCACTTTGTCATAGATAACAATTCATTTTACATGTTACTAGATTTTTTTAGTAGTTTGTGAAGGGTTTTGTATCTATATTGGTTTTTCCTTATGATTTCTGACTGATTTTGGTTGCAGGTTAATATTGGCCTCATAGTATGAGTTAAGAAATGTATTTTTCTCTTTCACATTTTGGAAAACTTGGTAAAGGGTTGCCATTAATTATTTAAATATTAGGTAGTGAAGCCATCTGATCATGGGCCTTTTTTCAGTAGGAGGTTTAAAAGTTACTAATTCAATCTCTTATAATAGGTTTATTCTTATATCCTATTTCTTTTTGATATTCTACCTTTTTAAATATATGTTTTTATAGGTGCAAATTGATCTCAAAATGTTTTCTCATTTTACTTTTTTTTTTGGGGTGGGGGGGGGTTTGAACCCTTGGAGATCTTTGCCACTGAGTTGTATCTCCAGTCCTTTTTATTTTTTGAGACATGGTCTTGCTAAATTGCTAAGGCTGGCCTCTAATTTGCAGTCTTCCTGCCTCAGCCTCCTGAGTCACTAGTACTACAGGAGTGCTAAGTTTTTGTTTTGTTTCTAGTTGTAGATGGACACGATACCTTTATTTTATTATTTTATTTTAAAATATCATTTTTAGGGCTGGGGATGTGGCTCAAGCGGTAGTGCGCTCACCTGGCATGCGTGCGGCCCGGGTTGGATCCTCAGCACCACATACAAACAAAGATGTTGTGTCCGCCGAAAACTAAAAAGTAAATATTAAAAAATTCTTTCTGTCTCTCTCTCCCTCTCTCTCAAAAAAATATTATTTTTTTGTGGTGCTAAGGATTGAACCTAGTGCCTCAAATGTGCTAGGCAAATGCTCTACCACTGAGCTACAACCCCAGCTCCAAATTGCTGAATTTTTAAAGAAAATTTTTGCCAACTGCCAATTTTTTTTTAGGGAATAGATTTACAGGTTTCTATATAGAGCTTTCTATAGTCTGGATTTTGCTGTTTGTATCCTTGTGTAACACTTCACATGTTCTTGTGTTCCTGCCATTTCCTATAAATTGGTAGTTAGATCTAGGGTTTTGATCAGATTTGGGATCTTTTAAAATTTTAATAATTTGACAAGGACATTTTATAGGTAGTATTACTTATTCCATTAGAAGGAACTTAATATAGCTGATTATCTTTTTTAAAAATCTTTTTTATTGTAGATGGACACAACACCTTTATTTTGTTTATTATTATTTTTTAATGTGGTGCTGACAATCGAACCCAGTGCCTCCCATGTGCTAGGCAAGCACTGTACCGTGGAGCTACAACCCCAGCCTCCAGATTGTCTCTCTTTTATTATATAGTGGGCATTGATGATCATTGCCCAGATTTAGTTCATCAGTGTTGAAGTGGTGATATTTTATCATTCCTTCTTTATATATTATCTGAAATAATTTCTCTAAAGAAAAATTTCTCTTCATTTTGATACTTTTAGGATTTAAAAAAATTGTCCCTCTTTTAATTGTCCTCGGGTATCCTGGGAACAACCTAGTCTATGATTACTGAAAATGAAAGTAAATGTTCTCATTAAAAAATTAGAAATTATTGCTTTACTCATACCCTGGTGTTATTGTTTACCAATTGTGTGACCTTGGACAAGTTCTTTAAATTCTTTGGGCTTAATTTACCTTGTCTGTTAAATAGGAATGATAATACCTACCTTGATTGAGTTGTTGTTATAAAAAGTAAATTTCATGATGCATGTGAATCTAATTATCTTTGGCATATAGTATTGCTTGGATAATGGTTGCTGTTATCTATTGATTGATTTATGTTATAATTCAAGAATATTTTATGAAAATTTTGATTATTAGTTATTGTTTCCCAATTCTTTAAAGCAGTATTTCACAGATGAGGGAACCTGCATTTGGCAATGTCTGGGAACATTTTTGGTTGTCATAAATGAGAAAGGGAACATACTGGCATCAAGTGGGTGAGACTAGGGATAATACTTTACAGGACATTCCCCTACAACAAAGAATTTTTCAGTGTAAAATGTTAGTAGTGCCAAAGTCAACCACTGCACCCTACTTTGAAGGTTTTCTCTCCATAGTCTGTCTCCAGCATCTTATCTGTAATCATCGTCTGATAAGGCTCTTTTATTAGATGATTTGGTAGTTCTTGGGTGTATGCTTGTAATCATTTTCATGCTGCATATTCTCTTACTTTAATAGATATTGTTTAATGAATTTAAGATCCTATTTCTATTAAGTGATTTTGACTTGGTAAATGTTTAAAATTGTTTTTTGAGGAGGTTGTACCTGCATATACAGAAAAGTCAAATTTAGTTAATAAAGGTATATAATTTTAAGGGAAGTGTCCATAAAATGATACATTTTGGATTTGCTTCAAAATAACTAGGGAGTATTTTGAAATTCCTCAAAAAGTAAACAGAATTTGTCATCTGACCCCATAATACCATTCCCAGGTATATACTCAAGTTGAAAATGGTGCTGAAACAAATGTATGTACACTTAGGTTCATAATATTATTAATACAATAGCCAAAACAAGAAAATACCCAACAGTTCATCAGCTCATGAATGGATAAATTATGGATTAGTCATTCAATGGAAATTATTCATGTAAAAAAGGAATGAAATACTGATACATGACACAATGTGAATGAATTTTGAAAGCATTATGCCAAGTGAAAAGCTAGACACAAATGATCACATGCTGTTTAATTATTTATGAAAAATTCAGAATAGTCAGGCACGTTGGTGCATACCTATAATCCCAACGGTTCCTGAGGCTGAGGCAGGAGGATTGTGAGTTCAAAGCCAGCCTCAGCAACTTAGCAAGGCCCTAAGAAACTCAGTGAGACCCTATCTCTAAATAAAATAGAAAAAAGAGCTGGGCATGTTCCTCAGTGGTTAAGTCTCCTGAGTTCAATCCCTGGTTGGTACCAAAAAAAAAAAAAAAATGGGGCTGGGGCTGGGGTTGTGGCTCCGTGGTAGAGTGCTTCCCTAGCATGTGTGAGGCACTGGGTTCGATTCTCAGCACCACATATAAAAACAAATAAATTCATAAAGTTCCATCAATAACTTATGATTTTTTTTAAAAAAAATTATCCAGAATAGGTAAATCCATAGACACAGAACACAAATTGGTTCTTAAATAATCTTCCCTATTTTTATCCTCTGGTTACTTAGTTTTCCCTCCCCAGAAACTACCACTCTTAAATATTCTTTATCAGATACATGGTGTACATTTCTGTGTAAATTATCTTTTTCAACACTATGTACTATACTTAACTGTTTTGTCTCTTGAGACTATATATATATATATATATATATATATATATATATACAATATATATATATTGTATATATATATTGTATATATATATGGTGTGTGTGTGTGTGTGCTGGGATTGAATCCAAGGCCTTGTGCATGCGAGGCAAGCACTCTACCAACTGAGCTGTATCCCCAGCCCTGTCTCTTGATTTTTTAATAGTTTGGCTTTTGTTTCTTATTAGTACATAAAAGACTGCCATATTCCTTTTTGGTGTATACATAGTATTCCCTTGTATGAATCTAGTGTATGTTAAAGTGATCCCTTATTGAATATCTAAGTTGTTTACAATCTTATTAAGTTATTCTAACCAATACTCTTGAATTGTATATATTGTTTTACACATGTGCTAGTATGTTTGCTAGATAAAATTACTTAAAGAAGAATTGCTTTCAAAGGGAACAGTTTTTAAATTTTTTGGTTTTCATCAAATTGCTTTTAGTAGAAGTTTGACCAATTTCTATTCACACAAGCAATGAATGGGTTTCCATTTCTCCATACTCAGTCAACATATGCATTTCCTATAATTCTTAATTGGAAAAGCGTATAATGAATCATAGATAAAGCATAACTGATCTTCATAAATCAGTGTTTTTTTTTTCCTCTAAGAGGGAGGTGGAACAGAAAGAGAAAGACACTTAGTTACAAGATTTAATCTCTAAAGTAGTTAATTTATCAACTTAAACATAGGAAAGCCAACTTGTTTTTGGGGGATCAGTAATTGATATACTGTTTTAAATCAAAACCATTTTCTTTTTTTTTGGGGGGGGGTATCAGAGATTGAACTCAGGGCCACTCAACCACTGAGCCACATCCCCAGCCCATTTTTGTATTTTATTTAGAGATAGGGTCTCACTGAGTTTCTTAGTGCCTTGCCATTGTCGAGACTGGCTTTGAACTAGTGATTCTCTTGCCTCAGCCTCCCGAACCACTGGGATTACAGGTGTGCAACACCACACCCAGCTAAATCAAAACCATTTTCTAAATATTTAAGGAAGATTAGTTTTGGAAGTTTAAATTTTGGCAGCATAGAGTAATACATTTGGCAAAATGTGAAACTGTCATTTCTGTAGTTAATGTTGTTTCCATATGGTTCAGAAATACTAGGCTTTAAAATTAATACATTAACTTTTCTTTAAAAGAATGCCTTTTGATTTCCAATCACCAAGTAACTGATTACTATGTGATTACTGATTACTTACTTACCTTTGAGGTGGTATATACAACCTCTGATACCATGGCAGTATGATTTAATTCTGACAACCATTTTTACTGAATTATTCCATTATAAGTGTTTATTAGCCATATTCTTTAGAGATAATTTAATAAAATGTACTTTGGCTAATCAGTTCTCAGAAAATGTATACAGCCTACATTTCAGGGAATTCTGAAGCTTTGCGAGTGTGGTGTTGGGGGGTACTAGGGATTAAACCCAGGGGCATTCTCCTGCTGAGCTATATCCCCAACTAACTTTATGTTATGTATATATATATATATATATATATATATGTATGTGTTTATGTTTTTATTTTTGAGACAAGGTTTTGCTAAGTTGTCTAGGCTGGTCCTAAACTCGTGATCTTCCTGCCTCAACCTCCCAATTACCTGCAATTAGAGGCATGCATCACTGTACCTGGCAAAGCTGTTTTTAAATCATAAATTTCCTTTGAATTAGTAACTAGTTGTTTCCTTGTTTGTTTATTCATTCAGCTAATATTTATTTGGTGCCCCGTGTGCTTCCAGCACTGGAATATAATACTGAAAATGACAAATACACCCCTGCCCATGTGGATTTTACTCCTAATGAAGGCAAATTATTAACAGTAATAAAATTAGTAAACACGATAATTTTAAAGTTTGATAAATATTGCAAAGGAAATAAACAGGATGAAGTGAGAAGGGCTAGGGAGATGTCAAGAGATGGGTGATCAACGAAGGCCTTTTTGGGTAAAGTGACATTAGAGCTGACATTTCTTCTGAGAGATGAGAATGAGCATTTGGAAGTAGGTACAGAATGAGCATTCCAGGCATTGGAACTTAGAACAGCTCAAAGATTTCAAAGAAACTGAGACCAGTGTGGCTTATCACTTAAGGAACAAGAAGGAGAATGGAATGAAGAAAGCTTGAAGAGACTTGAGAGCCATCTGCCTTCCAGGTCTTAAGAATGCAGTGGGAGACAATGGAAAGAAATTTAAGCAGGGCTGCCGTATGGTTTGAGTTGATGTTTAATAGAGATCCCTGGCTTCTTTGTGGTGGATGAATTAAAAGAGGAGGCCTGAGTGGGAGCAGGGATACCCAGGAGGAGGCTATTGCTAGAGTTGAGAGAAAAGATATTAATAGTAATTTTTATGCAAGTGTTGGTGGTGGAGGTGGGTATAAATTGACTGATATGCAGTATATTGTAGCAGTGGAACAGGCAGGACTTTTGATGGTGGCTTGATTGGAGATGGGAATTAGGAAAGGACTTTTGGAGTTTTTGACTTGAACAATTGAGTCAATGGTGGTTCCATTTGTTAAAGAGAGGAATACTGATGCATGAATGGAGAGGTTATTTCATTTGGACAGGGAGGATAAGTTTAGAATTGAGTTCTCTTTAGAGTTTGAAATGCCTGTTAAGACATTCAAAAAATGTTAAGTGGACAGTTTGAAATAGAGGCTTGGATCTCAGGAGAGAGATTGAAACTAGAAAAATATAATATGGAGTTCATCAGCCTGTACTATAGTTCATCAATTCCAAAAACACTTTTTTAACTTTCTGACTTTTCAGAGATCAGGATACATCTTGTGATCATTGTCAGTTAGCTAATAATCATGATATAGTTGTCATTTGCTGTTCAAGCATGCACAGGCAGAGTTCTAGAATCAGACTGTGAAGAATGAATGCTAGCAGTTTGGTAGGGGGAGTCTGGAGTTAGTGTTGGAGCACTGTTTTAACCCTCAAAACCTGAATAATTTGGGAGGAGGGAGAAGGAAAGAAATGAACCACAAATGTTATTAACTTTTAAAATTTACCCTTGGTATCCTTGGGGGATTGGTTCCAGGAAGGCTCTTTTCAGATAAAAAAAAAGTCACAAGTGCTGAAGTCCTTAATATAAAATGAAGTGGGAATTTGTATACAACCTGCACACATCCTCCTATATACAGATGCTGTGCCAATAAACCCATTATAAACTCAAAAGATCTTAAGTTGAACCATGGTTAAATTGATCATCTCTGGAATACTTATGATACTTACATATTGGTTAGGGAATAAAGACAAGAAAAAAGTCTGTATATATAATCACTGGTGCAAGGTGAACATTGCTCAAATAATGATTGATGGGGAGAGACTTAGGGTCTATGAAATGGAGGGAGGTTTCAGTAGGGTATACCTATACATTACTTCATTCATGTGGATTCAGCATAATGCTTAGCACTCAGCAAATTCCTGAGAAAACTTTTTTCTAACACCCTGCATCTCTAGTCTAATGGCTAAGTACAGAATGAAAAAATGAGGCCATAGATTGGCAAAATGGTGCTCACTTTTTCTACTGTGATTTTGTTTCCTCTCTATTTGCTTCTAGGAAGAAGGAAATATGGAGGGTTGAGGTGGGTATATATTCAAAAGGAATCCAAGAATGATGGTTGGAATAGGACTTAGTAAAATGAATCAGAGAGTGAAGAACCATCTTGATTTTCTAGTGTTTTTGCTAACTAAATATTTTCATCCCCATGTCTCCCCACTTTTTTTTAAAGGAAAACCTGGAAGAAAGGACAATAAACATGGGCTCTATTCGGGTAAATAAATTTACTTTCATTATGGTCAGAGATTTCATGTAGCTTAATGTCATCAAGAGATTGTATACCTTTACTGTTTTCCAAATCTTAAGTCTGGTACCTCTACAAAGTAGTGAAATGTTTGCATTCTGAATTCATTTCTGTGATTTATATGGATTTATTGGCACATACCTTCTTTATTCTTCTCTAGGATATAACTCTTCTTGTTTAATACTTGCTGTTGTGATCATGCATTGTCTCATTTAGTAGTATAGTTGTATGTATACAAACTGTACCTGTAATGAGATTAATTTAACAAAACTCTGTACAATTGTTTGATTATTATAGAAACTCCTTCTGTTTACTTATGTATTATAGGCAATAGTGTAATAATGTCTGCTCCTGTGTTATCTATATTAGATGTTAAATTTCTAGAGTATGGAAATGGTGGTGGTTTTCATAGTATTTTGTTCAGTTAAACAGATTGTTTTTGCCAATATAATGAAAGGGATGTTTAGCCCTTAGACTTTGGGAATTTTCTGGTTTGAATGTTACTTATGACTCAGCTCCTGTTATGAACTTGGCCCTTCTTCTGAGCTAACTCTTACATGTATTTAGGATGCTGTGAACTTTTCCTAGGGAAAGAAGAGGAAGTAGAAAATAAGCATATGTATTTCATAAGTACTTTTTCTTTTTTTCTGCCTGCAGGGGAAGAAATGGAACTGGTATTTGGAATATTTATTTTCAGAGGGGTTACAAGGCTTGAAACTTTTCATAGGAAGTAATATTCATCATTCTTCTGTCCCATGATCAGAGCTGTCCCCTGATAACCACCATGGTAAATATTAAATGAATGTTTACATACACACTGAACTTGCTGGACTAAATTCCTTCCTCAATGCTAGAGAGGACAAGTAGCTCAACTTGTGTTTCCCTATCCATTTCATTAATGGACTGCCATTTTCAAGGAGTACTCAGAGTGGCCTTCTGTCCATGGCTCAGGAGGGCCTTGGTGTGGCTAACATATTTTGTGATTTAGATTGTTAGCTTACTGGTAAAAAATGACTTCTCCATCATGCTCTGTCTTCCATCAAATTATACGTGAAGAGAGACATTTGCTTTGTGGTGGGATTTTTCACATTTTTGTATACTATGAGCTGCATTGATAGAAGAGAGCAGATCATACATAGTGGTAGATAATCCATAGACATACTCATGCAGTATACCCTGCTTCCTCTGTGAAACCTCTGTGGATATTGCCATTTTTTTCTTATGTGAACAAAAGCAGCAGCACCAAATTAATAGGATTCAATACCTATGACTCTAAAAGCCCTGAGTAGCTGAAGGCCTCATAGGCCTTCACTGGTAGGAATCTGTTGAGGGAAGGAAGGGGAAAGGATGGGGAGGGGGGATAATCAAGACATTTCTGTTTATGCTGATATGGTTTCATGAAACTATTTTATTTGTGTGTATATGTGTATGTATATATCTACTTTTAAAATATTCAGGCCATAATAAATTAACTGCAGCTTTACTTTCAGAAGTAATTCTGAAGCTTTTTATGATTTCATATCAGCTTAACTGTCTTGTTAAAAATGTACACATTTGCTTCAGTGCTACTAAATAACTCTCCTACTCTTAATAAAATTCATATCATTTGAGAGGAATGAAGCTGAATTTACCTTTGTTTTTAAGGGCACATTTTTATCGTTCATTTTTTTTGTATTCATTAAAATGAAAATTATACTATTGGATTGTAGAAATCCCATTCATTCATTCATAAATTGAATTATGTATTGAGCAAGGCACAGTGGCACATGCCTGTAATCTCAGCAGCTTGAGAGGCTGAGGCAGGAGAATTGCGAGTTCAAAGACAGCCTCAGCAAAAGTGAGGCAGTAAGCAACTCAGTGAGACCCTGTCTCTAAATAAAATACAAAAAGGACTGGGGAGGTGGCTCAGTGGTCTAGTGCCCCTGAGTTCAATCCCCAGTATCCCTGAAAAATAGGTATTGAGTTCCTTACTATGTGCCAAGTATTCTTTGGTATGCTGGTTATACAGCTGTATCCCATACAAAGTACCTGCTTCTATGGGGTTTACATTCTAATGAAGAAGACAAACAATAGCAATATAAGCAATGTATAATATCAGGTGCTAAGAAGAAAAGGCAGGGAATAGGGACAAAATGTGAAGGTGGTTGCTACTATATATAAGGTAGTTAGGAAAGATCTGTCTGAAGAGGTGATATAGGTAAAGAGCCTCATAAGCATATGAGCCATGTGACTGAGAAAGACCATTCTTCACAGAGGTAAACGCAAGTGAAAAGGCCCTAATATGTTAACTTACATATTTAAGGACAAGCAGAGGCTGGTGATGTTATAGCGTAATGATTAAGAGAAAAGAGTGATAAGACCTTTATGAAAGGTCCATTTAGCCTGGTATGGATATGTAAATGGAGGCCATTAGTGAGATAGAGAAGAGGAGTGGCATAATTTGGCTTACCTGTATGAAATATGAAGCTACAGTGTGAAGGTTAGACTGAAGAGGATTGAGGTGGAAAGCAGAGAGACCAGTTAGGTTATTACAGTATTCCAGGCAAGAGTCTTGAGGTAGTCTTACAGATGGTGGAGAAGTGGTTAGATGTTGGATTCAGTCTCTATTTTGAAGGTAAAGGAAGTTAGGATTTACTGATGGGGCTTGGATATTAGGAAGAAGAAAGAGAAGAGTAAAGGATGACTCCTAGAACTTTTTTCAACCTAAACGACTGGGTGAATTCTAAGATAGAGATCAGGCATACTGGAGAAGAACAGGTTTGGAGAAGCATGGAATTGAGCTCTATTTTGTCCATGTTGGTTTGTAGATGACGAATAGACAATTGGATTTCAGAGTATAATTTAGGGCTTGAAAATTAATCTGGCAGTCATTAGGGAATAACCATGGCATTAGATGAAATCACTTAATTCAGCTGAAAAAGAGAAAATGGCAAAGGACCTAACCCTGGAGTATTCTAACATTAAGAAGTAAAAAATAGGAATAATAACAAATAAAAGACTGCAATGAACTAGAAGAAAAATCAGGAGATTGGTATGCTGGAAGCCAGGTAACAAAAGTGTTTCAAAAAGGTGGGAATGTTTCTATATGTTCTCATGTACATGTAGAGGCTCAAAAAGTTGATCTCATAAGAGAGAGTAGAATAGTGATTAGCAGAGGCTGGGAAGAGTTGGGGAGTGAAGTTTGGAGAGAGGATGGTTTACAGGTGTAGGGGTGCAGAAGGGAGCGGGAACTAATGTTTTATATAGCACTGTAGGATAACTGTGTTTGACAACAATGAATTGCATATTACAAAATGGCTCCTAAAGAGAATTCTGAATGTTCCCTAATACAAAGAAATGATATATGTTTGAGATGTAATATATATGCCAGTTACCCTGATCATTATACTTATTTGTATATATTTATTGAAATATCACACTGTACCCCATAAATATGTATGATTATGTGTCAATTAAATATTTTAAATCAAATAATAAAAATTCAATTTCTCAAATAGAAGAATTTTTGCCAGTGTGGAATATTACCTGTATACCTTAGAAAAAGAAGCTTTAGCTGCCATAAATGTGATGGCTTCCCTAAAGGGCAGCCTTTCTCATTTAGAGATTTCCCTTCATTTCAAAGTTAGTACTCCAAATAACTTTCCATCTTATTTGCAGAATATGTTGTTTTGGTCCTTAAAATCATGTAGAACTTTCAATTATGAGAAGGGATTTGGTTTCTTTTTATTCCATTAAATTTAGCTTCTAACAATCTTCAAGTCATTGAAGAAACTTTCTAAAATTAAATTTATGTTCCAGGAGGAAAACATTTTTCTTGGGTTTGTTCTTTTGTTCACTAATGATCCAAGAGTGTTTTTTTTTTTTTTTTTTGGTACTGGGGATTAAACTCAGGGGTACTCGACCACTGAGCCACATCCCCAGCCCTATTTTGTTTTGAATTTAGAGACAGGGTCTCACTGAGTTGCTTAGTGCCTTGCTTTTGCTGAGGCTGGCTTTGAACTCATGATCCTCCTGTCTCAGCCTCTGGAGCTGCTGGGCTCACAAGCATGCACCACCCCTCCAGGCTTAGTGGGTTCTTTTTTTGCTCATATTTCTCTTGGTCAATTTTAGATCCATTCAAGATTAGATATATGGCTGTGTAAATAAGCTAAGTCTAGCTATTTCAAAAGTCTGTTTTGAAAACTCTTCATGGCAAAAAATGGATTTAAATAAGACTTGTTATTTTGCGTCAGTACAAAAGATACCTGAAGAAAATGGAAATTTTGGTTTTATTGCAATTGTATATAAAGAATACTTTCTTTAACCAATGTTTGTGTAAAATTGTTGGCTTTATAAATTTTCAACACTAAAGTTAATATTAGAATTTTTTTTTTCAGTATTGGAGATTGAATCCAGGGCATGTTCCATTTTATTTCCAATTCTTCTTTTAAAATCCAACATCTACAGTTTTTATATTTTCCTTAGTGTGTTATAGTTACATATAATATTGGGGATCATTTTGACATAATCATACATGTATGAAATATATTTGGGTCTACTTTAGTCCCCAGTATTTCCACCTTCCCTTCATTCCTCTCTCGCCCTTTTCTCCTTCCTGTACTGGTCTTCCTTCTATTCATTTATATTTTTTTAAATAGGAGCTTTATAGATACACATAAGTATGAAATTCACTGTGGTATATTCATATGTGTACACACCATTGATTTCTAACATCTTATTTTCCTTTGTGTTATAGCTTTTACTTTCTTTTGGTCTTGGGGTTGATCTAGGAAAAACAAGTAGCTAAGTCTATGGTGCCTGTTATAACTTTTATTAACATAGGAGAATGGTTTATTAAAAAATTATTCTCTGAAATTAGTATTATATTTTTAAGATGTCTTTTCAGTTGGTACTACCATTCCTTTTTTTTAAAGAGAGAGAGAGAGAGAGAATTTTTTAATATTTATTTTTTAGTTTTTGGTGGACACAACATCTTTGTATGTGGTGCTGAGGATTGAACCCGGGCCGCACGCATGTCAGGCGATTGCGCTACCGCTTGAGCCACATCCCCAGCCCTCCTTTTTTTAAATTACTGGATTTTCTAATCTAGAGAGCCTGTATTTTAGTTAAGTAAAAATTCTACTAAAGATGGGCAATAGCATTTAATGGAGTGTATCATTGGCCCAAATAACAAATATTTTATTTTTATAATACTCAGAAAAAGATGTCTTTCTAAGAGACATAGTAATACATGTAAATTAAAGTCTACTTTTAAGTATGTAACAGGAACACAAATTTATTTAGCTCATCAGAAAGAACATTAGCATATCTATCTAGATTTGGTACACAGAACTGGATGCTAGATGCCAAAGTCCTTTGTTGCTTCTGGTTTATGTCATTAATGAATGTATGACCTTGGAAAAGTTGGTTAACTATTTTGCCTCCTGATTTCCCCTTTGGTGAGATTTATATTTGAATGTCTTATCTTTCCAAGCTTTGATATAGAAAATGATTAGAAAAACTGAAATTTTATTAAAATAGGGGAAAAAAAGATCTAGAACTTTTTCCTGTCTTTGAAGTGTGACTCATATAAATGTATTTGAAGACTATCCCAGAAGGTAGTAGCTCATTTTCTATCATTTTGCATTTTCTATCATTTATCTTTATGTGTGAATAGGTTACCTGAGCCTTTCTGGATGGAGGGCAAAAGGTGTGGTCGAATGAGCACCTATTTAATAGATTAACATCCTAGATATTCATGAGTATTCCAGTCCTGGATACAATCACTCAATTTTGCCTATGAAATTGAACAAGATTTAATTTTTTGTGTTCTGTACCTTGACCCTTATATATAGGCAACTTTTTTGTTACCTGGAACAATGAGGAAGTATGTAGTACACAAGTTTTTTATTAGCCATTAATTCCAGCGTTGTAAAATTAGAAATGAATTATTTTTTCTTTTTATAATCAGCTTTGTAGACTAGGTTAAATTCCAAAACTTGATCAACAGTTTCTGCATAATCAGTTGAAAATTGTAATGTGGAGGATCTCTGGATGACATGCAAAGAGCTCACTGGAACTTCTCCCCAGAGAAATATTTGTTTTAATTGATCAGAATTAGCAAAGGTGATTATTCAGGTTCTCTGGGGAGTGACCAAAGAACTGTATTCAAAATTTGCAGAACTCATTAACAATAGTAGGAAACCATAACATCTGAGCTAGAGGCTATGCCCATTTCCCCACTCAATTCCATGTTGCAGATGAGCTATTGTGGAATATGTATTCTAGTGTGCATAGCAGCAAAGTGATAGTTCCCATCTCCCCCAGATACTGCTTCATAAATATAGAGGTTCTGCCAATGCAAGATTGAAAGAAACCCTCAATGACTGGAAAGAACCTGCCCCTGCCTGAGGGGCCTGACTATTTTGATTGTGGAGGAACTTATGCCTCCAGGGAATTGCTTAAAGCCATAGAATAAACAGGTAAAGACTAACAGTATGCCATGGTACCAAGAAGAAGACCAGAAGTTAATAGGAACATCAGAGAAAGAACAAAGGAAACCCTGCTAAACTCATGGCCATATCTGGTGATATGGAAGAATGTGTGTATACCTCAGCTGCATTCTCTCAGGAGCAACTGAAGAGGAAACTGTTTTGTGATTAGTTCCTGACTAAATGTGAAAACCTTGTTAACTCCCTGAAGTATGAAAGCAGTCTCCAAGCTACACAGAACAAATAGTAAAGAATGAAAACCTTAGTGGATCAGAGGGCTTAACATAACTTCTGATCAATCAGTGACCTATTGCTAAACTGTACTAACCTGAGGATAACCTTTTGAAAGCCAGATTTAAAGGTAAAAACAAGAGGCAGGGGAAGCAAGGACATTAAAGGCTGCACACAATGGGAGAGCAGACTTCAGAGAATTAGTCCAGCCAAATTACCAAACAAATATGTGAATAAACAGCAATGTCAAAGACAGGATCCACACAAAACTTTGCAGCCCAATGAACTCTTTAATTTTTTAGTTCTAGATGGATATAATACCTTTGTTTTATTTATTTATTTTTATGTGGTGTTGAGGATCGAACCCAGGACCTCACATGTGCCAGACAAGCCCTCTACCACTGAGTACAACCCCAGCCCCACCACCTCCCCCATGGACTCTTGTGGTAGAAAGGTGCATCTCAGCATTAGTCCTGCCTTCAGAGTACACAGCTCAGGAAGCTTTGGGAAAGAAAATCCACTTATTGAGCTCAGCATTCTGTGCTGATTCCGAATTGCCACAGTGCCAGTGTCTACCTCACCCTCAGAGTGTGCAGCCCAGAAAGCTGCAGAGGGAATCTTAGGTAACTAAATCTACATTCTGAACTGGCTTATTAACATGCAGCAGCCAAGGTGTTGACCCTACTGGAGCAGCACAAAGGACTACTCAGAACTGTTGCCTAGTGAGTTTTGCATTCCATACTAGCTCCTTCCAATGTGCAAAGCATCCCAGAGGAACTCCAAAATAACTTCAGCCACAAATCACTCCTGCCAGTCACCTGGCAGAGTATAAGGTTAAGACATGAGAGGCGAATAACCCTTGGCCTTCACTCTATTTATTTTTGTTTCTCGTTTTATTTTAATTTTTCTATTTTTTCATATTTTACTTTACTCCAACCTCTTTGTTTTTTTTAATTTTAATTTTTCTTTGCTAATCTTTTTTTTTAATTTTTTTGGTTAGACACAATACCTTTATTTTATTTATTTATTTTTATGTGGTGCTGAGAATCGAACCCAGGGCCTCGCGCATGCTAGGCGAGCGCTCTATCGCTGAGCCACAACCCCAGCCCCTTTTGCTAATCTTAATTCTATATTTTCTTACCCTTTTGTTTTTGTTTTATTTTTTTTAACTTTCTGTCACTTTTTATTTTATTCTTTTTATTTATTCTGTTGTTATTGCTTTACTGTTTTTATCTTATTATTGTTTTTTTTTTTTTTTTGTAGTTCTGAGGATCAAGCCCAGGGTTTGTACCCATTGGGTGGGTAGTCTGCTACTGAGCTACACTCCAGGCTCAGCTGAGAGGAATTGAGGTAGCTCCAGCCACAACCTAGTCCTGCCTGAACCTTGGCAGATAGATCATTTTAAAGAATTGGGGTGGGGCAGGTGGGCACAGCTAGGGGGTCTGACAACCCTGCTTCTAGACTATCACTCCCCTCAGTAATAGCAAAGAGAAATAACACAACTGTTGAGAACACCACACATACAAAGGTCCTTAGTATTGGTCCCTTCCACACTCTGTCAGACAGCTCCTCGTTGACAACATTGGATGTGAGTGCCACAGAAGGAGAGCTCTGATCCTGGCCCTCATCTCTCTACAAGAAATACCAGGAACTGCACTAGTGTCTAAGCAGGGGATTAAAAACTTCAGGCCCTTCACCACAACTGGAACAGCCAGTATCAGTATCATTTTCAAGTAACAG